TTCTGTGTAGAGGATCATGGGAACAGGATGGGAGGGGCCGGAAGTTGCAGATTTATTATTTGTCTTTGTAGGTCCATAGGAACAGAATGAGAAGTGATTGAAGTTTATGATTACTTTACTTTGTAGTTCTGCTTATGGGTTCACAGGAACAGAATGGGTGGGACCAGAAGTTGAACATTACTTTCCTTCTTGGTTCTGTTTAGTGGTCCACAGAAACAGAATGGGAGGAACCGGAAGTTTAAGATTTCTTCATTTAGTAGTTCTGTTTAGAGGTCCACAGAAACAGAATGGGAGGAGCCGGATGTTAGAGATTACTTCACTTCCGGGTGACGTTCTGCGCCGAGCAGCTTGTTGTCCAGAAAGCGTGGAGATCGATCCTAGGTATTTCTGAGTTTTGGGGTGGGTAACTTACTTTAAAATCATCACAAACTCAACTCTCCCACCCTTGCTTGTCCCTCTGAGCCCTTTAATTCGAAAAGCCGCTTTTGGCTTGCGGCCCAGTGTGCTTTACTAGAGTTTTCAAAAAGACGTGGCAGTTTTCTTCAGATCCGTCTACTTTTCTGCTGTTCTCATAAAACGATGCCTCTGGCAGGAGACAGTTGGATTTAGACAACTGAAATGGAAATATCAGGCTTTAAGGGACTGAGAGAGGCCAGTCTGGAAGATTCCAGGCTCTGTAGCTGGGGTTGGGGTGAACATACACATACTGCTGATGCTATATGGTGGCCTAAGTGGGTGTGTACAGGCACAGGTCTGTACCCCTGTATGGTGGTCTAGGTGGGTCTATCTGCACAGGCCTCTGCTCCTGTGGGGGGGTCTAAGTGGCTTTGGATGGACACAATTATTTATCTGCCTTGTATCGTGGCCTAAGTGGGTCTTTTTGCACAGGCCTCTGTCCCATATGGTGGCCTAAGTGGGTCTGCACAGCTACGGGACTCCACCCCTGTATAAAACCTGAAGGGCTCCTTCACTTTCCCTTAAGAAAGTAAGGCAATAAGAGCTTTCTTGAAAATGCCTTACCTCATTGCCAACAATAAGCTAGACATCATACCTAGGTCAGATAAAGTTAGGATGAGGACTTTAATCACCCTGGAAACAACACTCCTTGTAATAGCAAAAGCTCTCAAGTATCTCCATTTTTGCTAGTGCTGAGTCCCCATTGCCATCTGAATGACGAAGTGGAGAGGAAGGCAGATTAAATTTCTACTTGAGTGATACTGAGCGAGTTTGGAGTGTTAGCTTGAGAAGAGCAAAAGGAAATTGGCATACAGACTTTGCCAACAATAGATATAATTGATTGTGAATGTAAAGTAAGGGAACTCTTGAGTCTTTTTCCCAAGGGACCCTAGTGAAAGACCTGACTCACTCTTGGAAGCCTGAACCTAGACTTAACAAGCTTTCATTTCCTCCACAGGATCTGCAGAATAGAGATTGATCCACGAGTACAGGAGCCCTGGTATGTTCCTAGAAAGATTCTCATCTGGAGAGCTGCAAAAGCAGGTCTTTGTTAAACCCAAGGTATTCTCTACCTGGTAGTACCGTGGTAATTACAGGTTGTCATTGTTACCCTTGCAGATTCCTGTTTTGTCAGCATTCCTGCTTCAACCCTGAACCCAGTCACCATGCCTAGGGGTCAAAAGAGTAAGAGCCGCTCCCGTGCAAAACGCCAGCAGGCACGAAGTGAGCTCCAGGGTCTCCCAGCAGTTCATCACACTGCAGCGGAAGCAGCATCTCCTCCTGCTGACCAGAGTGATGGCTCCAGCTTCCCTGTTGGTTGTACTCTACAGGGGGTGAAAACCCCTGGATCTCTTAGTGCAGATGTGTCTTGTACAGGCTCTGGTGTAGGTGTTAGGAATGCTGTTGTGCTTGCTGATAAGCAAAGTTCAGATACTACCCAGGTAGTGAGCTCCATTCAGCATTCACTTAAAGATCCTATCATGCGGAAGGCTAGTGTGCTGATAGAATTCCTGCTAGACAAGTTTAAGATGAAAGAGGCAGTTACACGGAGTGAAATGCTGGCAGTAGTAAACAAGAAGTATAAGGAACAGTTCCCTGAGATCCTCCGTAGAACCTCTGCACGCCTAGAGCTAGTCTTTGGTATTGAGTTGAAGGAAATAGATCCCAACACTCACACTTATATGCTGGTAGGCAAACTGGGTCTCTCCACTGAGGGAAGTCTGAGTAGCAACTGGGGGTTGCCCAGGACTGGTCTCCTAATGTCCATCCTAGGTGTGATCTTCATGAAGGGCAATCGTGCCAGTGAGCAAGAGGTCTGGCAGTTTCTGAATGGAGTGGGGGTATATGCTGGGAAGAAGCACTTAATCTTTGGGGACCCTGAGGAATTCATAAACAAAGATCTAGTGCAGGAAAATTACCTGGAGTACCGCCAGGTTCCTGGCAGTGATCCCCCAACCTTTGAGTTCCTGTGGGGTCCCAGAGCTCATGCTGAAACCACCAAGATGAAAGTCCTGGAAGTTTTAGCTAAGGTCAATGGCACTGTCCCTAGTGCCTTTCCTAACCTCTACCAGTTGGCTCTTAGAGATCAAGCAGGGGGAGCAAGAAGGAGAGATCAAAGTAGAGCTCGCACTGTTGCCAAAACCAGGGTTCATTCCAAGTCTCGATCCCATAAGTAGCTGAGTCTGTTCTATGGTTTCCACATTGTTTGAAGAACGGTCAGCCTCCTAATTAGTGGAGATTTCATAGACTACCAGAAGCAAAATGTATACACTCTTGACCTTCTATACATTAGTAAAATGTAGATTTTTTTGTTACTTTGCAAATATCCCTTTAATTAGGCAGTGATTTGTGCCATGTTTTATGTTAGCTGCATAAAATTGTTATTGTCATTTGTCAATTTAGTACTTAGAGTTTTGTTACTTTGCAACAAACTGGAAAACACTGCTTTCTTTTTACTGAAGTGTTAACATTTCATTGGAAAAGCGATTTTCATGGAAATATGATGTCATACAATGGTGAAAGAAAAGTAAAGTGGCAATTTTTTAAATTTCATATATGATTGTAATTTGTTAGCTGTATACTTTTTTCCTTGTTAATGCTAAGTGAAATAAAGTTGTATTTGATGACTTTACTCAGCCATTAGAAAGTAATTTTTTATTACTATATTTTCTTCAAGTATTTATTTTTTAATTTTTAATTTTCTTTTCAAGATAGGTTTTTCTCTGAGTAGCTCTGGCTGTCCAAGAACTCACTCTGAAATGTAGACCAGGCTGGCTTTGAACTCAGAGATCCACCTGCTTCTGCCTCCCAAGTTCTGGGATTAAAGGCGTGCACCATCACCGCTGGGCTTATTTTCTTCAAATTTTAATTGAGCATCAGTTCTCTGGAAGTTCCCCTCTTCCCTTCAATAACACTGGATCTAGTAAGAAAAACATGGTATTGTCACTGACAATGAATTATCAGAATCTAGCAGCAGCTACATATAAGAAAGAGGGTAACATACTAGGTAAGATATAAAGGGCATATGAGGAACAGGAGGTTTTTTTTCATTTTTCTTTATTAAATTTTCTACTCACTCTACATACCACCCACAGATCCCATCTCCTCCCTCCTCCTGCCCACCCCCAGCCCTCTTTCCCAAGCCACCCCGCATCCCCACATCCCCCAAATCAAGGTCTCCCATGGGGAGTCAGCAGAGCCCAGCACACTGAGCCTAGGCAGGTCCAAGCCTCTCCCCACTGCACCAAAGCTGTGCAAGGTGTCACACAACAGGCACCATGTTCCAGAAGCCTGCCCATAGATCAGGGAGAGATCCCGATCCCCCTGTCTGGGTGCTCCCCAAACAGTTCGAGCCAAACAACCGACTAGTCCAGTCTCATGGGGGCTCCACAGCCACCAGTCTACAGTTCATGGGCTTCCACCAGTGTGGCTGGTCATCTCTGCACATGCCCCCATCATGATCTCGACGAAGGATGTTTTCTTGAAAGCTAAGTACAAATCACTTTGGAATATATTAGAACAGGCAATTCAAAGGGTATAACTGAATCAAAATGCTGCTCAATGAGTATTACTAGGATTTAACAATTGTGTAATATTTAATCTGCATATGGGGTTGTGGGCTTGTTCTCTGTTAGTAGACAAATTAAAAGTTTGTGTTTTGAGTTAAAGGCTATAAGCCTCACTAAGTAATTATCCAAATTAAGATTTTAAATATTTTTTACCACCAAAATATTGATTCCCCCTTTAGAGTCTCACAAACTATAATGCAAAACATTTGGCAACTGCAATTTTATCAATGGGAAGTAATTTGAGTGAGGCTTTGTAGTGGCCTAGATAAGCCTATAGGAGTGGTAAGGACCAGACTCATGATACTTTTGAGAGCGGAGAAACTATGTCTGAATCAGGAAGCAAACCTTACATGCTCTTGGAATTTGAGGGTGTCACAAAGAAATCTCCACCCGGGGCAAGAATGGACAGTCAGTTCAATGCCCCAGTGCAGATGAATATAGTACATGAACTGTATATAACAATATTTAGTGATTTTATATAAAATATAGGTCATACTTAAAAAGAGTTACTAAGAAGCCATTGAGTGCTCACTGAATATACACAGATAAAGCCAGATTATGTTCCATTAATAGGGAATTTTAAGATGTTACCATCTTCAGTCTAAATAATTTAAGCAGGGCTAAAGAGACAGCTCAGTGGCTAAGAACACTGGCTTCTGTTCCACAGGACCCAGGTTGGATTCACAGCACCCACATGGTGGCTCACAACCATATGTAATTCTAGTTCTAGTAGGTCCAATGCCTTCTGGCTTCCATGGGCACTGCATGTACATGATGCACAGATATACATGCAGGCAAAACATTCATACAGATAAAAAATATGTGTAATGATAACTACCATTTTTTTAAAGACACAGTCTCTGCCTTACACTGTGACTTTTGACCTTTAAAATGCAGTCAAAGAACTTGCAGTTTCTGAAGTTATCAAGAATAGCACGATACACAGCTAGAATAATCACTTGATCTGGATTCCTCAGAAGTAAATAGTGTTGTACTATTCCAAGCCAGAAGCAAGCTTTGTGCCACTGACTCATTTTCTACCCATTACTTACAAACTGTACTTCTGATGATAAACGTCTGATTTCCAACCTCCAGAACTGTTTTACAATACAGAAACCAAGGAATTGGCAATGAAGCTACAAAACATAAATGGGAAAAATGATTAAAGTGAGAGACGGATGCAGGAGGATTGGGATTTTGAGGCCAACCTGCAGGGCCCATCCTAAAGGATTATTGACAATGTAATTGCCTAAAACTCCATAAAAAATAAACTTCAAAAGATTAGAGGTTCACATATCCTAACTTTAAGCTTTCCTATAGAAAATAAGTATCTTTATATAGAAATTACCTAAGAGGCCACGCCTGGATGGCAGTGGTAAGTACAGATAACTATTCTTCCTGTGTAACTGTACAACACCTGCCCTGGGATCTTATTTTACTATTTCAGCTTGGTCACGATTATAATTCTTGGAGCATGTATGTCCCCTATCGGTTATGCAGAGGGGAAATAACCAAGGGATTTCAGGGATATAGCTACTGTCTAGAAGTCTTCCAAGAGACAAATTCTGCTCAAGAAAAGGAATTGCAGAGATCCCAGCCTGGGTTCTCTTCTCAGACCTCGAAGGGTGTTGTGGGTTTACACTGATACCTCATCGCTTGATGCACCATGTTCCTAGGTACAGGAGAGCTTTGCTCTGCACAGGTGACCTGAGAGGAAGAGTATTCTACACAGGACATAATTCCTTTAAGTATTGTGTGATCTTACTCATATGTCTAATGTGAATCTAATGTGAAACACTTGGAATCCAACAAGTTGAGAGTTAAAGGATCAGGAGGTAGGAAGGGTTGCAGAAAAGCTGATCCCTGTGTAGTAAGCTTCAGTTGGAAGTAATAAACCTCATCATATGGTACCATTTGGTGACTACTGATAGTAATAGTATTCTGTAATTTCAAATGCTAGAAGAAAAGATTAATATTTTCACTACAAAGAAATAAATGTTTTCAGACAACGCGGCGGCGATGTCCGCGAGCCAGGCAAACGCCGCAGCGGTAGCGGCGGGGCCTCGCGCGTGGCTGGGCGGCCTGGGCTGCGGCCTCCCCTCCGGTCCCTGGGAGCGGGCGCGCGGCGGGCGCGGGAGCAGTGGCGGAGGCCCCGGCGCGTCCTTCTGCCCCGCAGCCTGAGCCCGGGCGGCTGGAGGGCTCCGCTGCCCGAGGATGGGAATTCTCTTCACCCGGATCTGGAGGCTGTTCAATCACCAGGAGCACAAAGTTATCATTGTTGGGCTGGATAATGCAGGGAAAACGACCATCCTTTACCAGTTTTCCATGAATGAAGTTGTACATACATCCCCTACAATAGGAAGTAATGTGGAGGAGATTGTGGTTAATAATACACGTCTCCTGATGTGGGATATTGGAGGTCAAGAATCGCTTCGATCTTCCTGGAACACTTACTATACTAACACTGAGTTTGTAATAGTTGTTGTGGACAGCACAGACAGAGAAAGAATTTCAGTAACTAGAGAAGAGCTCTACAAAATGCTGGCCCACGAGGACTTAAGAAAAGCTGGATTGCTGATTTTTGCTAATAAACAAGATGTTAAAGAATGCATGACAGTAGCAGAGATCTCCCAGTTTTTGAAGCTAACGTCTATAAAAGAGCACCAGTGGCATATCCAAGCATGCTGCGCTCTTACTGGCGAGGGGTTATGCCAAGGACTCGAGTGGATGATGTCACGGCTGAAGATCAGATGATCTCTACTGACCTCTTCTCACAGACTCTGTATCAACAAAGTGCTGGACTTTACCTGCAAGCTGCAAAAAAAACGGTTGAGATATATTTATAATAAACTGATTTAAGTGTTTTTCTACAAGAAGGAAAATGAAGACCACTCATTTGAAAACAAAGATGAACGTCACCGCCCAGTTTGCTCTCATTCCTTCCGAAGTGCGTCGAAGCTGTGACTGACATTTCTCACGATGACTCCTCTCCGGATGTGGTAGAGCTGTGGCGAGTACGAAGGGAGAGGAAGACATTTGAACTGTAGAGCTTTATTGTCCGAGTGCTTTGCCCTTCCCACCCCACCCCAAGTTGAATGTTCCCTTCTCATTACGTTGAATCAAATACAAATCAGCACAGATACCGTTCCCAGTTTTAAAAAATATACATTTTGGCATAACTCAACAGCTTTTGCAATCAAATGTTTTTCTTCAGTTACGAATGTTATGAAAGTATTTTGCTTAAAGTTGAATATGTATTGTGTATATACCTCAAGTTCAGGTTAATGGCTTTGATTTGTGTTCTAAAGAAAAGCAGATAATACAATAATAACCTTAGTTATTATTACCCTAATGTTATTCAGTACCAACGTTAGTGTTAAGGGTCATTTTTGTAGTTTCCCTTCTGTTCTCTGTATTGTTCTAACAAGCCAGCCCTGACCTAGAATTGTTGAGCTGCTCCTTAAAAACAAAACAGGAAAAGGCTTGACATTGTATACCAATTTTTCTTGCTCAGTAATTGAGATGGACAAATGTAACACAAGTGAGTAGAGTGTCTGCTAGACTCCTGGCCAGGAGTGACTGGGCAGAATTATAGACAGAGCAGTTACCAGACTTTCCCTTCTGTTGATCCTATGCCATCTCAGCTACTAATCAGTCATAAGTTGTGATTAAAACTACCAGGTCATTTTTAATTGAAAATCATGGTGTGAAATATATCTGCCCAAAGAGGAAACATTCTATAAATAGTAGTAATTAATTTAGCTGCAGCTTTTTAGGTATAACATGACAGACAGCTAAAAATGAATTTGAGAGTAAGCATAAGGCATAGTTTTCAGTGAACATTGATAATTTCTCAATTTGCAGATTTATTTATTTCTGTAGGTTTTCTTAACATGTTCTTCTACTGCATAAAATACCTTGTTTAATAGTTAGGAAATCCAAATACTCTGAATGCTTTCGAGAATTTGATTGAAAATTTGACATGTTACATTATTTGTACTAGAAGTAATTTGATCCAAAACACCTTTTATATTTGCTGTTTTTTTTCTAATTTAGCTAAAAGTTGCAGGTATTTCTGTCATATCTATAAACAAAATTACCATGTGTTTTAACATATTCTTGGTGACTCTATATGCCTTTTGTGCCCTGGAAATTTGAAGGTTAGTCAAAACTGTCAAGATTTAGGATATTCAAAAAAAAATTAACTAGTTTTAGTATCAGACTTTAAAATTTCCTAAAGATTTTGATAAGAAATAGAAGTCCACATTAC